TATTTTAATACTTCATCTTTAAGCTGTCTAATATCCATCGTAATGTATTTTCATATGATCAGCCAAGGTGGTCAACGCCAGGAGAAAGACGACTCAGATCTCTGCAGCTAAACGTATAAGCTTCTCCTGCTAACATTGAGACTCAGCTATGTTATCTTGGCTATGTGTTTCTTAACTGACTAAGAAGTTTGCCATTATGGGTGGGCAGAGACCCATTGTGGATTAGTTCTGGGTGTATTTACTCTCCATTACTCAGCCTAGGCAAAACACAGAAGTTTCATGATGGCTTTTTTGCAACCCCGTATTTCCCTGAGTCGTAGAGAGTAGAAGGAGGCTTGGAAGCACAGTTTGTCTTGACATTTAACATAGTGTAATTGAGGTTTAGGCTCATTTTCTCTAGGTTAAATTCTGTGAAAGAAACAAATATGTGAGCAAGTGTTTTCATTGTTGTGGCAAGTCCCCTGGAGTTTGACCCTGCTTCTACTCCTGTTGAAACCAATGGCAAAACTTCTGTTGACTTGAGGATCTCGCTTTGCTGTAACGTGATGATGACAACCTTCAGTGAAGTAAAATGATATTTCACTTTTCACTTATAAAATAGTAATGTTTAGTATCATCAGAACAAAAGCTCTTGAAAAGTCATGCTAAAATTACAGCATTCAAAAGATCTCATTTGGAAATTGGAATGAGCTGTATCATTAGAAAAAAACTTTTCATTTGCAAGAAGCAGTTAGGAAGTGCTGTGCCATCCAAATTCTTAATTAAAAAGTAGAAAAGTCCCCTTTCCCACTTGCCCTACCCTGTGTCTTACTGTAACTTTTTTTTTCTGCTGCAAAGTTTGATATCAAAAGTGATTCATGTCTGTTTCAGTGAAATCCAGACAAATCAAACCCCAGCAAATAGCTTGTATTTTAACGCCCATAAATCTCATTCTGGACAGTGTGCGCTGCACACCCCTCTTCACTCACCGAGCACAGGGGAGGAGGCTGGCGTGGCCGTGCGGGGCTCCCAGGAGCGGCTCTGCCGCCAGCGCAGCTGATAATCCGGAGGCTGCCCAGGAATGCGTCTGCACTGTAGCAAGTGCCTGATCCAAAGGCAGGAGCCTCCTGCCCATGGGCCAGAGAAGTCTGTCGGACCTTTGTGTGCATGAGGGCAGAATCTGAGCCAGGGACTTCTAAAAAGGTGTGGGTAGGTGGCTAGAGGAGTCGGAGTGCCCAAGCAGTTAAGGCACACAGTCTTTGGGAATGCCTCCTGAATATTAAGAGCTCAAAACCAGTGCAGAAAGATACAGGAGGAAAGAGGAGCACATTTTCCAGGGAGGGCAGAAGAAGTTACCAGCTTTCATCTGAAAGTGTTTAGTGACATTAGACTGTGGAATAAACTAGGTTAAGATGAAACTACGTTTTTGACCTGAAAGCAAAACATCAAGGAGCAAAGCTGAAATTGCACTTCTTTTTTGGTTTGTCCCCTGCAGAGAATGAGGCATCTTTCAATTCTAGCTTGCTTGTTTAAGTCCAAGTAGTAGGGAAATACGGGTTTTGTGGGATAAAAATATACTCTGTGCTGATTTAAAATCAGCATACTTCCAAGTTACACTTTGCTTTGAACGTGCAGGTAATTGCCACTTCCCACTTTACCCTTCAAACTGCGCTTTCACGTGTTTGGGTAAAAATTCTATCCTCAAGGTTATGGGATTCAAACTGTGTCCGACTGGGAAGCAAATGCAATGGGAATTTCCTAGGGTGCTGAGTCACAGCCCTTCAGGTGGAGGGCAAGGGAAGCCTGCTTCTGTTTGGATCAGCACTTCATGTGTAATGTTAAAATTTGATGTTGTTCAAAACATTGTTGATGCCTATGAAGAAAGAACAACCTCCTTCCTTTCATTAACAGTCATCACTAATGGGAAGCTGGCACTGCTTTGTTCAGTTTCTCACGCAGCTGAGGTCCTTGGTCACCTTTTCTGGTTTGCTCTCGTTGCCTGTGTGGCAGTGCGGGGTGGGAGAACGAGGTGCTCTGCTGGTCATTCTGAGAAGGTTTCTTTGCCTCAGTTTTCCCATTATTGAAACTGGGCAATATGTTTATTTATGTTCTAAGTGTATCTGTTTGCAGTCTTTTATAAAGCTGGTTCTTTTTTTCTGGTTTTTAATTCAAGTAGTCGAATGTGACCAACGGTAGCAATTAGTGACTCATTTAGTAATTTAACTGGAAACCTTTCTTAGATTTATTTTGCTCATAAAAATGATTGTCTCTAACAAATAAAATATTCTACAGTGCATTGTAACACAGCAATTTTTTCACAAACAAGTAATGATTTAGAGAACAATCTTTTATTTATGTTTTAATTTAATTTTAGTACATCGTTCATATTAATGCATGTCACATTATAATACCTTTATAAGTACTCTGAGAATATCAAATAAGACACTTAAACTGACCACAATTTATTTCATGAAGTTATTTTTAAGAACAATATGCAGACATACCTGAGCGCGTGTAATTGTGTTATTGTGCGTATTCTTCCTTTAGTGGTGCTCCAGCACCTTATTTAACCCAGGAGTCAGAATCTATTTTTAATGTGGGAAGGGACACCAGGCCTTGTGGGATGAAAAAACACCTTTAAGAAAGATAATAAAAATAAGCAGTCAGCCAGAAAAGAACAGGAAGAAAGAACCAGCCAGCAGAGAAAGCTATGTTTTGGAAGTCAAAGCTACAGGACTAAAGTGATAATTACCAAAATTCAAGCTGAGTTAGATCTTTGAAGGATGTTAAAGCAAATAGCAAAAGGTTCTTTGGTTGTATAAATAAAAAAAGAGAGAAGTGATCTTCTGTGAAATAAGAGCGGGGTGGCCATCAGAGATAATCCAGTTATAGCTGTCAAACTAAATTAATACTTCATTTGGTTTTCAGTAATGACAATGATGTTGATATTATTAGGAAGTCTTTTTAAGTCCTGTATATGATGTTCATCTGCAATTTATTATCTACCTCTTGTCACCTGTGTTTAGGAAAGATGCGTTCAGACTGGAGCAGGGTAGAGGATAGCTAGGTTGGGGAAGAGATAGAAGATCTAACCTGTTTACAAGCAGTAAAATACAGGCTGAGAGGGGATATGATTATTGTCTAGAGAGTCCTTCGGAATGGTAAATAGTACTGAAGGAGAAGTGCTGCTTCAGCTGAGTGATGTCATTGTCACACAAACAAATTGGTACAAATTTGCTATGACTTTTAGACTGGAATTGAGAAAGCAGGTTGCTAGTTGTCAAAGCAGTGAGCAGGAGGAGCAAGAAACAGTAAAAACCTAACTGGTTTTTAAGATAGAGCTCAACAAATCAATGGAAGGATTATGTGGTACAGTTCCTGGTGATAACACAGGAACTGATAGTGCAGAAGATGTCTCCATGTTCATATGTGAAAAGTCACTGAGCGTTACTGTCACCTCTTTCCTCCCTTTTCTCCTTCTACACCTAAAATGGAATAGGTTTAAATACATGCTGTCCCATCATGACCTCTGTAAGTACTGTTGAGCACAACCAGGTAGGAACCGGACAAAGCAAATACAGGATTTTTTTTTTAGTGTGGAATCTGTCAGGTGAGGACAGCCGCCTCTTCCTGAGTTGAATGAAGGAAAGCATATTACTGTCAGTGGTGGGTTTTCATGGAAAATGTGTGTTTGCAAATCTGGGAAGTGTTCTGTTTGTTCAGATCAAGTAATTTGAACCAACATCAGTAATACAAATTAGAACAGCTTAAGAAGTGGTCTGAGGCTGGTCTACCCAGTTTTCATAGAAATGCTCATGAATGAAATGAAAACTGGGTAGACCAGCCTCAGACCACTTCTAAATGCTCATATGATTTTACTTATTCATGGAGAGACTCCATTGCAGATTTAACTTCGCCCATTTTACTACTTTTTTAATTTGTTTATTCATTACAGCTACTTACGTAATTAGGGATGAAAGGGGAACAACAGAACTATAAAGAATATCTAAAAAAACCCCAATTCTTAACTTTATTGTACTACTGATATCAAAACTTTGATGTTTTAGTGGCAATAGAGGTAAGTATTAAATATCATTTAGTTTGAACATTGAAATTAGACCAAGAATGTCTCAACTATGAATTCAGTCTAAACATTTTCTGGGATGTCTCTGTATTGCTTTAAAAGGAATGATATCTTTCATGTCGATATATGTTAAAATCTTTACACCTCACGGTCTTCACTGCTGAGTTACCTTCAGTACGAGCATGACTTAACCTCTGCACCTGGCTTTCCAGATAGTGGAACTTGGGTGTGGGGTGGGCATGGCATGAACACAAACCTTGTCTATACAGGCAGTGTGGGTGAAGCCGTCATGAGTCAAAGAGTAAATGAACTTGAGTGCAGCAATATATGCTCTTCTAGAGGGACTAAGGGATGGACACTTGGAGATCTTCAGGTTATGAAAAGCATAGGTGTATGCCTTGCTTGTGTGTTTTAAATGGCATCCGAATGTAGCAGTACTTTGGAAAAGAGTGTCTGAGAAAGCTTAAGATGGTTAAAAAATTTTGACTTCAGTGTGTGACAAAGCAGATGCCCAAAGTGCTTGTAGGCATAGCAGTGTTCTTATAAATTGTGGAAATAAGACATGAAGAGTTTGAAAACATGCCACTTCCAAGACTTCTAGGGAAAGTAGGCCTGTTTTCTTCCATGAATGAATGCTGCAGGACTTAAATGTTCCCTCTCAGGAGCTGAGCACTACTAACCACCTTTGAACATGACTTTCTCAGCTGAGCTTCCTCACTTGCCCAGCAGCTGCTTCATTTCATCGCAGCGGTGGCCAGATTGCTTTCTGTAGGCAACATGTGATTTGATAGTGAAGTTTCACAGTGTGTTTTGAGTAACGATGGGAGATACAGAGGTAGCCCCAAATATCAGAAGGTACAAGCCATTCCTTCAGATCACTGCGGTCCCACTGCATAAGTAAATGAGCGTTGTCTTTACTAACTGTTTTGTTCACTAGGTGATGACAATTCTGGAAGGAAGGTGATTACCTTCAGTTGCTGCCGTATGCCTCCCTCCCATCAGCTCAATCACACCAGATTGCTGGAGTAAGTTTCTCTCAACTTTACATTTTATATGTGAACTTCTATTAGCTTGTTTCCAGGTGAATGAGCTTTCAGGGAAGAGAAGCAGGAAGCAGGGAATGAAATGAAAAAAGGATGTAAGACCTACTAGTGTTAATGTTAAGTGAATGAGATGTGGATGAAACTGCCAGAGTTAATTCACCTGAAACCTTGACTAGAAGAAGCAATTCACCATGTACTGAAATTAACTTGTCGTCTTGATTTTATTAACGAGTTCTGACAGTATTTAAAAAATTGAATTTATGATGAGGACCAATGAAAGAGAAATTCTAGTGCTCCGTACTTATGTTCTCATGGATAGCAGTGTTTGCCTTAATTTGCTATACTTTATCTCCTGAATCACTCAGCAAGAGTGTTGTTTAGTTATTTACATCTTAGTGGTTTTCCTCTTTTATAAAAAGATCTGCATTACGGACAGTATACTATGCTTCACATTTTTATATGTATCTCACGTTGTAATGTTTGGGGTTTTGTGTTATAAGAGGTTGTCAATATGTAAAATCACAACATTCTTCCTTATAAACTTGCTGTAGCAAGGTACCAGGACATGTTTCTTCCTTGTGGTTTGTCACTGTGAGGAGATCTGTTCTGCCGTGAGAGTCTTCTCCTTATTAAGCATTTTAAACCTATTTGGAGTTCTTGCACAGTCTCCATTGCCAAAATATTTGAGCACCTTCAACCGTCGGTACCCACCACCTTTGGAAAGGACCAAAGTGCTGTTATCTCAACTTTTCGGAAACAGGGAGGGATTAGAAGGCAGGTTATGTAAGATATGTGTTTGAGACCGTGTTGCTTCATTTGTGTGCTCTTCACAGCTAAGGTATTTCCAGAGCCTTAAGCCAAAGCTTCCTGTGTAGCCTACGCACCCAGGAGGAAGAGCCTCACCAGTCAGCTCCTCACCTAGAGGAGCTACCTGCACTGATTAATAGGAAATGCCAAAGAAGGGAGTGTGACAAACCATGTTGCTACCAAATCTCAGTTCTGTGAGGAGGCACCTTGATGAAACTATGATTTCCAGCCCTCAGACTCTTCTGGACTCGAACACTTACATGTTTTCCATCAAATTCACTTGGAAGGTCTGTGCTAAGAGAGAACTGAAGGCAGGTGCCTGAATGTGAAGCTAGCAGTGTAACTATCAAGTGATCCGCTTTTGAGTAGTTAGACCCAGATGTTGAGTTTTGAGGGAAAACTGCAGAGTAGGCCCAGATTGGTAGGTGTTATGTGATGAAATCACTTAAAGAATTGATTTGGTAAAGCTTTTGTAACGTCCCTGCAATTCTGTTATAGCCTTGGAACAGGTAATTGGCTGTACAAAAATACTAGTTATTTTATGCCCAGAAAACTCTCTCAATTATTTTTAGAACTACAGGCTTTCTGGATGCAATGTTACGAGGAATTTACATGCTGTAAAATAAACCGTGAGGCACTCTGTATGTGAGAGTATCTGTTTAGGTATATTTTAATTTCAAACTCTTTAAAAAAAGTCCTGAATGACTGTTCCTACTACTTCTTCCATTAAAATACCTTTACTACTTAAGTCAGGGATCAAAACAGCATTATATTAGTTGCTGTGGCAGTCCTCGTCCCAGGCGATTCGCAGCCTAAGATTTACAGTTCGCTAAGGGAATAAGCAGATAAATGAGACTGTGGGCGTACAGTGTAACAGTGAAGTTACGTGCTTTTTCATGCAAAGGTGGATAGTCAAAGTGGCCTTGATACTTGCAGATAGCCACAGCCTAATAAATGGCACATGGAACTATCTATTTTATTGAATGAAAATCGCTTACATACAATTAAGAGCAATAGCTGGGGCTCTGTCGCAGAATAATAAGATAGCATTGAGAATGACATGAGAAAGTTGAAATCTGACACAGCAAGAGATGAGGCCAGATTGTACTCCTCCATCATTGCTTTATTTGAATCATTGAGCTGTGTAATAGGCCATACAGTGTTCTCAATTGTAGGAGAAAGGGAAGAGAAAAGCATTTTAAACTATACCGTAAAAGAATGAACACACAGAAATCTGCTTATAAACCATGCAGTATTGTTTCAAGATGGGATAAGTAGTATAGTTCTTTAAATTAGTTTTAAGGGAAATGATCTATGAACACAGTCCCCACAATACAAACAAGGGAAAGGCAAATACATTCAAGAAAACAGTTTACAGTAACAAGTTGTAATTGGCAGTAATTAGGGCTCATGGATTTTTCAAAAATTTAAAAAGTTTTAAATTGAGAGGAAAACCCAAGATTTATTCTTTATTATTTTGAAAAGTCAAAATGACATTGTTTGCTTGGCTAAAAGGAAGGCATTTACAAAGACCAGAAGAAAGCAAAATAGAAGTCGCTGTCCATTAAAATGCATCTTTTTAAAAATTTCTTGGAAAACACAGTCCCTTATCGTCTTCATCTTTTAGTGATTCATGAGCACCATAGTTTTCGTAACTAAATACGTTCTTTCAGATTTTGGGCTTTGCAGTGATGTGGAATTATTGGCAACACTGTCACTAGAGCAAGATGAACTTGTTAGATAAATACATTGAAGCAAATGTGAATTTGCAGTCACTAGCATTCTGTGCAAAAATAGCACATTTTCTTTCCTAGTTACTGCTTTAAAAATCTCATCCATTAAACTGTCTTAAAACTAAAATGTTCTCTTTCTCCTCAGGTACTTAAAGTATACTCTGGACCAGTATGTAGAGAATGATTATACAGTTGTCTACTTTCACTATGGCCTGAAGAGTCTGAATAAACCGTCTCTGAAATGGTTACAAACAGCCTACAAAGAATTTGACAGGAAGTATGCCTCCAAAATATTTGGTTTATTCTTTCTGTTGTGTAATGTCTGTAACTAACTTCCATGAAGGAAGCTGATCTTTCCTGATCCGCCTGCAGCTAACTGAGTTCATTTTGCTGTTGCAAATTTTTGTAATGATATTGGTGCTCTTTGTTCTCTTGTAAATGTCTTCTGTGCAATACTAAGGAATGGCCTGAGTGCTGCAGTGGTTATCCGAAGTTATAAAAAGCCTTGAGAACAAAACCAAGAGCCATTGCCTTTTCTGTGCACTATTTAACAAGATACCTGTGACAGCTTATTAGTCATCATTCTCTATTATCTCACAGTTGTGTTTCAACCTTTGATCATCCCAAGGCTAGGTTATATACAAAAAAAGGAAAGATTAGTTTTTAACAGTCTGCATCTCACAACCCTTGCGGCATTCATTGGTGGTTGTATGTAAAGCCCCGAAGGGACTTTGGAGTAACAATGGCTACAGCTCATGGCTTCATGTTTTAGTTGGTTAGGGTGCAGTCAAGGCCAAAGCTCCTAGATAGTGGAATAGCATTTTAATAGTGGAAACTAAAGTTCTGATGTTTATTCTCTGAAAATGCACACTTGGCAGTGGAGCTGAAAACTCCTGTTGAGTTTTGTCTTGTTTGCAAGTTGTTACTTGATGTACTTGTTTGTAAGTTGGCCTCAAGAGGGCATGACTGAAAGCAAAAATATACACAAATAGCTCTTTCCTGATAGTGAGAGTGTATGTGCACGTGCATTTTGGGGGGATAGATCATACACAGCTGACTTTTTCAATTTCGGAGCTGGAACAAGAAGCAAATCTCACAAAAGATGCTGTGAAAAAGATTATTCGCTGTTTCTAGACTAGACTGAGAGATAAATGCCTGAGCATTTCACAGGACTGCACACCCTGCTTTGAAAACGGAAGTTTTTGCTGTGCACTGACAGTTCCTGAAAATAAAGCACTGTATGGAGTCGGGAAACCTACCCTACCATACTGTTTTCCTTCTAGGAGAATCCCAAGCCAAATTTACTGTTGCTGTATGGGAAGAGGCAGTATGAGGGCAATAGCTTCTTCAGTTTTGTTTCCTGCGTACATCTCAAATGCAAAAAGTCACTCTCATTTATGCCAGAAATCTGTTTTTTCCATTCCCATACCCTGACCCAGAAAGCAGGAGAACCAAAGAGGAACAGAGAAGCCCAGGTAGCTGGGCAAAACCAGACAACCAGACACCCATCATTTTATTCACAGCTGGGACTTCTTAGCATACTGTCATTGAGAAGCTCAAAGCAATATTCACAGCCCAACATGTGTGTTCCACTGTACTAGCCAGAGGGAAAAAAAAAAATATAGCACCTTTCGGACTTCTGTGTGCATGTTTTGGGGGTCAAAGGAAAGAGAGAACAAAAGAGAGTACAAGGGACATTAGTAATTAGCTAGCATCGTGAAAGCAAATGTTCAACAGGAATAGTTTCAAAAGAATAGATCTTGCTTTGAAGGTTTACAGCAGAGGCGTAGTAAAATCTTGTGGGCATTTAATTGTAATCTAGGAAACTATGAAGTACATGAACTTCCACAGAAGCAATGCCTTATGCCCATTGCTTCAAGGTACAAAACAAAATTAAAATGGAAACTTCATTAATGCAGCTCAGGTGTTTTGCTTCTAAGTTTTTATTGTTGATTTTGGGTTCTTATCCACATTGGTGCCAGTTGCACAGGGATAGTTGTTTGCTTGTGTATGATAGTGGCTTTGGGAGAACAGAGCTTTTTCATTCAAAGATGTATGGGCCCAATTAAAACCCAAAAGGAAAAACTGTGGTAATTGCTGAGTTGGTCCCTTTTTCCCCTCTTGCCATAGCCTGTTACAAGAAGGTTTTTCTCAGGAGTTCACAATCATTTTTTTCCCATGATCGTGGTTTTTCTAACAATGAATGGTGAACGCTTGGGAGGGGAGCTCCCTACTGTGAAGCAAACTTGGCAAAGTAATAAGCAACAATTTATATATAAAAGCGGGATATTTCATTATGCGTTTCTCAATTTCATTTTGGAATAACATTGAATAAGAGCAGAGTCTTTTTGTGTAGCCTGGTTTCCATTTCAGTTTCAGCCTGTTAGAATGTATGGTTTATGTATCATGATATGACATGATAGAATTCAGCAATGCTATAATGGAGAAAGGTTTTTGTTTCATCCAAAGGGGACCATCCAATATAAAACAGCATGCAGTTGGCTTCACCTTTAGTAATTACTGGCAAAACAAGACAAAAGTAGTGGTAAAAATAAAAGATTAGGTGTAAATTTTACATCTGAAAATTTAGGCATTTTCTCTAACATGAAAATCCTGTAAGCAGAAAATAAAGGGAGATGAAGGAAAGTAGTTTTTTATATCACAGAATTTTTTATAGACTCTTCATTCTCTTCTCAACTTTTTTTTTTTTGAGTTGCCTGATTTTCCTTCTGTCCCCCTGTTATTAAACCTATGAGACAGCAGACATTGGTTAGGAACATAATAGTGTTATCTTGGCCTACTATTGTATCATCAAAACTGACCATTTTTTAAATTTTTTTTTTTTCATTTTATATTCAGTTTCTTCTGAATTAGGTCTTTTTAATGTGTTTGAAAAGAATGCTGTATAATGTTCCTGTAATAATACCTCCCATTCAGTTGTAGCTATTCAGTTCTACTGTCTGTGATATTCAAAAGTCTTCTAACAATTTCATTTTCTTTTCCTAGGTATAAGAAAAACCTTAAAGCCCTCTATGTTGTACATCCAACCAACTTCATAAAAATTCTGTGGAATATCTTTAAACCTCTTATAAGGTACTTGGCAGTTTATTCAACACATTTTCCCATTCAGTTTAAGGGTGGTTTGTTCTCTAATAAGTTGCTTTTAAAAAGGCTCAAGGTAAAATATGTGAGGTAACAGCACAATAGCCATTTAAACTGTCTTAAACTAATGACTAAGGAGAGCTTAAGCTTGGGTAGGAATAATAGTGTAGAGTTCTTTCTAAGAAAAGGGAGTCTCAATTCATAGTAGTTTTACTGGTATGTTAAAGTAAATATCACTTTAAAACATAGTTATTCTGTGGACCACGAATGACTTTTTTGTCCTCTTTGACAGCACTTAGCACAATAGAACTGGGTCTGTGACTGGAGTTACTAGATGGTACGGTAAAGCAGGTAATAAATAGTTAACCTTCAGTCTGATCTCAAGTGCTGAGATGAATAGGAATGATACTACTTGTGTGTTCGAAGTTAATGGATAAGCCCTGAAGTGCCCGTAAGAATTTGTGATGGAGGGTATAGTGGTGAAGGTGGATGTATTTTACTGGTGCATTCTTTTTCTTTGCATGGTAAAAATTGATGCTATCTACAAGGAACTGGCAACAATGGGCAGACATGGCTAAGTGCTAGGATGGTTGGGCTTTCTTAGTTTCTGCTCCTGAACTTCTGTCACTTTCAAAGTAATTCTGACATTTTGCAGATTATGTTATGAATGTCCTCAGGGCTGAAGGACGAAAACAGCCTATCTTGAGAAGCCATAATGAACCAACTAAAAATGTCCATTACAGTAACTTGCAATTGATTCAAATCTGACTGGTAGAAAGCTAATTAATTAGAAAGGGGAAGTTTGACTTCTAGACAGATCAGAACATGTAAGAAGCATGTGAAAATAAAAAAGTAATTACAGCTAAAAATCCTCCCAGAATATGCTGTTCTTGAAACAAGAAAGCTGACTATAGATCTTTGTTTTAACTGGCAGTAAGATAAGTGCCAGAGATCCAGGACATAGACCAGTGGTGAGAAAAGTGTGACAGAAGCAGGAGGTCCAGTAGCTGGTAGTACCTCAGGAATGGGGATGGATTTTTTTTTGTTCCTGATTTGCTGTAGGATGGGTATGGAGGGCTTTCTAGGAAAAAAAACCCAACAATAAAACCAGAAAAACTCTTGATGTACATGAAAACACTCAGGTGAAACCAACTTCTTTCTCAGAGGTAGCTGAGAGCTCCTTGGGAACAGCTCCAGGCAAGCAGTTTTGGGACACTGATGGTTTTCAGTTTGGGCACGTTAATGCACTCAGTGGAGCCACAGCTGGACAGCAGCTGTGCTATTTGACTTAGAGTAATAATTGGCTGCAAATTCTTGCAAAAGAAAAGTTTACAGATGCCTGTTGCAAATACTCATTTTTCCTGGATCTTACTGTGTCTGTGTAAATAAGATGAATACATTTTTCTTGGAACAGTATGATACACTGGCAATTAAATTCTTGTTTACTTTGGATGTGAAAATGGGTGATCCTGATAAGCTTAAGCATTCATATCTAGCACAGAAAATTCAAACCAGGGCTTGTCATGCTAGGTGCATCATCATCTTGACCTTCTGAACACGCTGCTTTCATGTTCATCATTGGATGTTCTTGTTTGTGCTCGACTTTTACCAATGTGTACCTGGATACTTGTTTTGAGTCTAATTTAGCAGCACTCTACTCTCCATTGTTAAAATACGGGACCAACAGAAACAAAGATATTTGTACGCTGGCACTGACAAAATCATTGAAAGTATGAGTAAACTCTGAAAAGGTCCATAAGCCAGAAGGCAGGAATTAGCTGAAGCTAGGAAAAAACCCTCTTTAACTGCTTAAAGTGGTCTAATTACCAAATGCTTACATGCATTTGTGGTTTGGGTTGACGCAAGTTTGGGTTTGTCAAGTAAAGGAAAATGTAAGATATAATTTTAAAACTGAAGTGTGAAAGTGCCCATGTACAATTTGCCTAAATTGTACTCTCATTGAATACTAAAACTTATTAACATTGTTAATTTACTAGAATAGTACAATTTAAAATTTGTTCACAGTACCTTTTCCTCCCAGTTTAGAATAATCTTATCTTAGCAGATCATGCTTTTATTTAAGTGTAAATATTAAACCAAAGTTCAGAAAAGGAAGGGAGAAAAATCCTGTGGACTTTGTTTCCTAGCTTTGCTGAATTATAGCTCAGACTCATTTTTAGATTTTAGTGTTTCCAATAGATGTAAAATAAATTTCATTATCAAGAAACATGTTTTTATTTTTCAGAGGTCAGTTAGTACATTTGGTACCTGTTAGTACCTGGCCTAAGTACTTTTACACGGACAATTTGCTTGCTAAGAAGTAGACAAATACAGAATTATTAGAGTGAAGAACAAAAATAATCAGTATTTTAGCATACTTGTATTTGAAAGTATTTAAGAAAATGTAAATACTTTAAATTTTTCAAGCTCCAGAAGTTGATTGATCTCCTTTCCAGTCCCAAAAGAGATCAGCAAGAACATAATGTGTTGTCATATGTATTTTTTTCCAGACTGCAAAAAAACTGTAAGAACAACACATTTCTATGTGTGAGCTAGCAGAAGCCACCCACATGTTATCAAAATAATATACGTTTACGTGGTGGTGGTGATGTGGCATTTTTAAGGAACAGCAATAATTCCTAACTGCCCACAACTTAGTTACAAATTATGTGTTCTGTAACATGTCCTGTATTACCAGAGGTGATTAGTTACAGAGAATTCTGTGCCAGCCCATGGCTTAGGTAACATGTTGAAATCGCAGGCTGTTTTGGATGAAAGACACACTGAAGAGCTCTGAAGTTGTACATGCACAGACTGATATCCATCAGTGTCCCAAAGTCGCTTGCCTGTTAGCAAAGTTTAGCTCGTTTCAATTAAAAGCTTCTGAAATGCTGAAGTGACTTGTATTTGTACCGTCTCCCACTAGAGGGAGTGTGTGTATGTGTATTTGACAATCCAGGGATAAATTCATTGAAGCGAGAGAATTTTTCTCCAATTTTCCTATCAAAGTAAGTTGCAGCAACGTGCACTTTTTATCATAAACACCTTACAGGACAGATATTTTGTGTTGCGGAAAAATATGAAATTATTTTAGACCATGTGTATAAATGTGTCTCTGAACCTTGTTTGAACACCTCAGCCTGTAAGTAACGTATTCTGGCTGAAACTCAAGACCTAACTAGTGATACTTGGTGCTTCAAATTTGGAAATCTGTTTTGTGCAACTCATAGAAAAACCTTATTATTCAGGATGTTTCCTAGAAGCTATCCAGTCCTTTTCAAAACGGATAAAGCTGATGGCCCAGCACTTCAAGGGTATACACTATCCACGCTTTGAAAATTTTGCCTGTTGCTTACTACTTTATAGTTTGTGTCTACAGCCCCATTATTTTGTCTTTTGGCAGGGAGGAATACCTAAATAATACAAACATGTTGTTCTGTTGGCTGTGTAACATTTTCTCCAAAGTTAACAGTTCTTTTAGTGAGCTTTCTAATGCTGTGTGAAAGTTGTTTTTCAGTGGCTTTTAAAGCAGTGTTTTTCATATCTATGCAAATCACAAAACATTCAGATGGAAGTCAGTTATTTTTATTCAAATCAGACTCTCAGGCATGCACTGTATATGTTTGATCATATGAAATGAAATACATCTTATGTCTCCTGCTGCTTCAATTACAGTCTAATTTTGAGTTGCATCAGCACTTACATTTTTGTAATAGAAACTAAACCCTTCGTAAGTGTTCCTCCCATGCTGATTTTTATACTTCTTTGTGATTTTTCTTTTTAGCCATAAGTTTGGGAAAAAAATCACCTACTTGAACTATTTAAGTGACCTGAGAGAGCATCTCAAATACGACCAGCTAAATATCCCTCAAGAAGTCATCCGGTACGTGGCAAGTTTAAAATACGTTGTCTCACCTTTTCTCGGGTAGAGTTGCATCGTGTTCATTGTATTCCAAGCAGAATCTAATCCTATGTCTTCAATGATTAAACGTCTAATTTACCTATTTGTGCTTGGTTGGATTTAATTCTGAAAGCTGCATTGCCATCAAAGATGTGCTCAAGTGCATTGGGTGTTTAGAGGAGAGTACACTATATGGTTTTCTACAGATTTGAAACATCTCCATCTCAATTGTGGAACATTTTCTTAATATAACTGCAGCTTCCGTATGTGTGCTGGCAAAACCAATCCATATGTCATTACTGCTTATGAGTATTGCATAATGTTCGTGGGCAAAAATGTAATCCTGACCTCTTTGCTTGCATATGGTAACAGATTAAGTGACTTCCTTTTGCTAAGGGCATTCCCAGTCATCAAAGTGTTGATTGATTTTAAACTTTATGGATACGTCTATTGTTAGCGGATCCATTACTTTCATATCGTGTGGGTATGTGTGTTAAGGAGGGGTATTGGAGAGAGGGCGGGAGAGGAAAAGAAAAAGAAATGCATAGGGCTGGGATTGTCAAGTGCCAGTATTAGTATCAATAACAGTCTTTTCGACACAGCACTGTACATGGAAATGCTTTGATGTACTGACAAGAAATGATTTTATGTCACTGCTGAATGAAAGTAACTGGAAGCTTTGATTATGACTGTTATTGATGCCTGGTGCGTTTTTACACCCCTTATGTGTAAATATGGAATAACAGAAAATACCTTACAGCTCTAAGGTTATAAATTGGATTGCATGGTTGTCAGAGAAAGGGGAGTTGTATTTTGAGTAGCAAATAGGTTTGAATTTTGCTGTTAAATTATAGTGCATTCCTGTTTTTTGGACACATTTATTACTGTACTCCATTGGCTGAAGCAAAAGAGCTCTTCTATGTCTTGCTTAAGTATTCTACCACAAATACTACTTAAAAATTTCTCTGATGCTTAAATTAAATGCAAGTTCTGTAAGACCTGCAGCATATACACTATTGTCAGGAGATCATCATCATGAGCAATACTGGTAGCTGTTCATTTATATAGTTTGTCAGCCGTGGTGCACAGAAAAATCAATGATTTCTTGATTTTTGCAGACATGATGAAAATCTTCGGGGGAAACAGAAGGGAAAACTGCCACCTGTGGTTAAGGTTCCTCCACCACGGCCACCTCTACCTACCCAGCAATTTGGAGTGAGCCTGCAATAGTAAGCCATGAGATTTCTAAAATATGAGATTGCTATACCCTGCAGCCTTCTGTAACGTGCAGATTCACTGGACAGAACATCTGCAAATATTTTGTTTATTATATGTTTAGTTTCTCATTCTCTTTGAAAGCCACAAAACTATGAGGCTAGACAACAGGTTTTATGAATTCAGGACAGGTCTCTCACTCCCAGTGACCTGCCTGGTCTTTATGTTTACAGTATCTTTGTGGTAGTTAGTGCTAGCATGGCTGCACAACTTTTCTCCCAGTGGGCAGAAATTTGCCCATATATGACAGAGCCCTGAGCTAATCTGTTGCTGGTGGATGCTGGCAGTACGAAAGTGTTTTGGAGATATTTAGATGGTGGATAGCAAAGCCAAGACAAAGCTTCAGGCTCCAAAATGGCTGCATAAAGCTAAAATGGATGCTTGAACCTTTATATATTGTTGTTTTGTTGCTCACTTATTGTTCTGATCACAGTTTTATGAAATGAATAAAATCACTCTCTTCCAGAAATGCCCTGACAGCTGTTTACATAGATTACAGCACTGTATGTGGTATAAAAAATAATTTACTTTACACAAGGAATGGGATGGCAATAGTACTTGCAAGATTCAATTTTGGTAAAAAAACAACCAAAAAAACCCGCAAAACCTTCTAGCTTCCTACCCACAGTCATTTCTGTCAGAGAGCTATGGAAAACTGTCTTTCTATGGCATCCTTCTCAAAAACAGCCAAAGAATATTGTTCACATTGAGCAAAGGCAATTTAGGCTGTCTGATACATGGACATTTGTCGAATCTCCTCCCACCCCCAGTCTACTTTTCTGGTTCTAATGATTCAGCTGTAAATGAGATATAAAATATAATTTTCCCCTGGTTAGATGTTAAGCATTAGTCCTCTCTGGAAGGCCTGAAATTAGAACAATCAATATCTATTGTGTAAGAGCTACTATGACATTAACTTTTATGATACCTCTTTAGAGTTCACCCTAACACTTGAAACATGGCTAACTTGCTTCCCTAATTCAGAGGAATAGATACTCCCTAATATCTTTTAGGTGGGCTCCACTGCGTCATTAAGAAGAACAATGTTTTATGCCACCGCTGCAGTAGTAAAACCAGGACTGTTTGCAGGTGTCAGGGCACACACTCACTTGCCCCCAGCCCAGCCTGGCTGCTCAAGCAGCTCTATTGAACTTCTCGCAGGCTTATGTGATCAGACAGCATGTTCTGTGCCACTCTTACCATCTGCTAGTCATATTTTATTTCTCTGACTGTGCCTGAACAGTGAACAGTGTCTTTTGCTGGACTGCACGTGGTGAGGGTGTGGTGGCCGCCCTTCCTGGGTCTGCTGCTCTCCGGCTGTGTTACCATCAGCAAACCACGTCCTTGCTGCGTGCCTTAGCTTTCCCAAGTATAAAAAGGGTGGCTACTTACGAAGAGCTTTTCTGTGAAAGATCTGTGGATGGATAAACACCAAACGAGGCATTGCTATCACTTTTGACCCAGAGAGTTCCAGTGCTGGTGATGGAGGCACTGACGGATGGACGCCCTCCATGTGTGGGTGCAGGTCACAGCGCTTGGGTGTCCGAAAAGGATGTACACAGGGATATTTGTTCCATTTGCCCGCTGTTGTCCAAACTCCCTCTTGCAGAAGAGACGGTGCTGCATCACTGCATAAAAATCACAAATAAACAAATCCCCTATGACCTCTAAATGAGAAATAAAGGATTTAATTTAGATTGTGTTTGTGAAGAAAGGTAAAGTTAATGGACAAGAAGGAATGATATGTGTGGAGAGCTTCTAAAATCTGAACCAAAAAAAAAGTATCAACTTTCATCTTTATGAATTAATTGCTTTTGCTAATTCCATCTCCTTTTATGATTTCTATAGACTGTAATGGCAAAATGGCAGTGACCTCCCACCTGTCTAGCAAAGAGGCAGGTTTGAAGTCCTCTCCTGGGTGAGGCTCTTCCATTTTTCTGAAGAGAGCTATGGGGAGACCCTGATTTTATTTTGTATAGGCTTATGGGAATATGTGTGCTGTGTATTTAATTAAAGTTAGTAAAAATTGTTTTGTCAGAGATGCTGCTGAGAGAAAGCTGCTGTCGATAAAGGACTGTTTTTCTGTGGAGTCGTCGTCTTTCTTTTAAGAAAAGAAATTATAAGGCCCATAGGCCTGAGGTTTCATCAGATTCAGTGCTTCTGGGATGATGATTTTTATTCAGTCAGTAAAAGGTTGCTGAATGGGATTTATCCAAAGCCCTCATAGGTGGCCCGATTTTGATAAGATGTTTGATAATGGTATCCCAATGACTTCTGGGTGTGGAAGGTGGTAAAACCGTACCCTTTTGAATGTGTCTCCCTAAAGGCAGCGGGCAATGCTGCCTCTGGTAAGACTTCCTCATTTAACTTTTTTCTCAGTTTATATTGGTTAATACATATGCTTTCCAGAGCTATAATTAAAAACTAGAAGAGCAAAAAGTGATTTAAGCGTTGGTTCAAAATATCTCACCTTTGTCCAACAGGCAAGGGGAAAAAAAACCTGTTTTGTTAGGACAGCAAAACGAAGCTGAAGGAAGTTTCCACCTAGACACTGATAAATGACTGTCTGGGACCAGTGCCTCATCTTGGAGGAATCTGTTAACTCACAGAGACATTTTTAACCTTGTAGAGTCGGATTTTCAAACTGACATAAGGCAACTGGGCATTTAAAAATCATGGAAGGTCTGTGAGAGCTGGGAGTATAATCCTTTAAAATGTAATCTATACTGAATTGGGTTTAATTTATGAGCAAGCTGAAGGGCTTATTACCAGGTTAGTTCAAAACTTTTCTTTGTTATGTTACCCCTATCCACTCAGGATCCAAAATCTGAATTTACAATGGCTGCGTTTGATCTCTTTAATCCCTCAGTGTCACCCTAAACTCTTTGTGGGGAGCAAAAAACAAACCCACACCAAGCTGACTTCGTCTTAATTGTCCATCCAACTTTATTTACATTTACGTGTCTGGGATTTAAGTGTGTACTTTATGATAGGCACAGATGTGAAGTGGAAAACCTTCCTGATTGTGAGCTCCTGTGAGGACTCAATAATTTGTTTTTTGCAGCTAGAACTTGAATCTAGTACCAAGTTGTCCTGAAGTTACCACTGAAACTACGCTAATTCAAACAATAATAAATGAGCTTATTAAAGACAGTTAGATCATCCAAAGCTGGCTCATAGGATGTCTTTAGAATAAAGTGTGGGGGACCAAAAAAGATTAGCTGTCTCCCTATTTATTTATTTATGCCTACATGTACAGGGCAGATTTGCCCAGTTTACTGAATGACAGTCTTCCCATAGCATTTCTGATCCCCAGCCTGGGTTGCCTGGTTGCCAAATTGTACCTTTAGAGGTTTGAACTCATGTTAAAAACTATGTGATTTTCTTGAAAATATAAAATAACACAACTGAAACTAATGTTCGTCTTCATGGGGATATCGGACAGAACGGTCCTCCTGGGGAGGTTTTGTCCACACTTAATTTTTCAGTTATAATTTAATGGGAATACATGCTCAGGTTTGACAGGTACTTAAGAATGTGTAGCACAGAGTGGGTGGGGTAGTTTGCATGTTTAGTGTTTATTATGTCCTTCTCTAACTTGCTAATTCAAGCTTCTTATGTGCAGATAGAGTGAGGAGAATAACAACTGTAATGAGCTAGTTTAAAGTTTTATCAAGCCTCACGTCAGCATCTCCAATAGAGGGCAATAGCAGATGTTAGCAGGGAGCAGTGTTAGAACAGGGCAGGTGTACAGCGATACTTCCTCAGGTATAATGTCCCAGCTTGTAGTGATCAGAGACTGACAGAGGAGAGTACTACAGTGCTATGGCAATGACTTTCTGTTACTCACCAGTAGCTGTCGCTTTTATAAATCCAGACATTTCAAAGAATGTTCATGTATTGTGTTGATACAGCAAGACTATTTTTCTGTTCTTTCAGCAATGCTACCATCACACACAAAATGTAGAGCTGCAGGAATTAAATATTCAGAATATATCCTCTCTAGTTTGCACTGCATGTCAGGGTGAAAAATGGGATTTTTATTCTAAAAGCCATTAGTAAAGATTTAGTGTTTAAAAAGGCAAGGAAAAATTTGGGGGACCCTCTGCTTATGTTGATCAGATCAATCCCGTTAAAATGCACAAATGAAGCTTCCTAAATTTGCAACACTTTAAAGGAATTAATAGTTGACTATATGGGCCAAGCAGCATCATTGTCCGCTGCTGTATGTTCAGCAAGCTCCTATAAACCCCTGTTGCTGCACCCGATTGCCTCTGTAATCAAGGAAGGCTACAGCTGAGCTCCAGCACAGAGCACAGAGTTGACCTTGACTAGCTATTGACATTGTTCTGTTTTCTCTGATTGGTTCTAAAATCTAAAATTAAAGATCTTTTGTGGGAAGAGAGGAAATGTTTTGTTCTTCTATCTATTGCTATGGATGGGGAGGGGAGGCAGAGAAAATGCACAAAATTGCCACAACTGCACAGCTTTTGTTTGTTGAATTGTTATCATAAACATTTCAGGGTGCTTTCCTTTTGGTCATAATCTTTCCGCTTGCGCATGCTCTGCATGCGTGACTGGGGAGGAAGAATGCGTTCTAAACCAAATCTCGGCATGTCTCAGCAGGGAAAAAATGAAAAGGAGAGGAAAAGCAGAGAGAGAGAGAAAGATTATCAGCCAAGAATACTTAATGACACTTCAGAACAATGTGTAAAGGCCTTTCGTGATAACTGTCCACTGTCTAGAAATGAGTCATTGGGTATATAACGCGTTGCAGTAACTAATCATATATCCTATAGTGAGGCATACTCATCCTTCCTGGCTACTGTGTTTACCGGAATAGATCCCTCTTGAATCTGACACGTTGCTGCACTACAATTCAGATCTGTGAATCAGTTACAGAAAACTATACTGTGCACTGAAATGCTCTGTTGTGCTCGTCTCTTAAGCAGAAAGAGATCTCTCATTTCAAATTGCCCGTAGTAGTGCCTGATCTCCAATGTTGGTTTGCATTGTCCGTCATAAAGCACAGCTGCTCATCACACCATCCTGAACAAGGCAAGAAAAATGCAGATTACTTGTCAGGATCCACAAAGGAGGACAGAGGTGTAATTTTGTTGACCTCTGAGCTGGTCTGATTTACATTAGCTGAAGTAATGTCCCTATTATTTTCTGTCACCTTAGGTCCAGTAAACTGAATGCTACGTCCCACATTGTGAAATGCCATGAAAATGTGCTTCCCAGCTTTCCCCAGTGTTGCAAAACCAGAACAATCCTTTGCGTGTGACTTTCAGTGAATATCCTACTCTATTTTAAAATACCATTTATCCTGAGGACCTCTCATTGTACTAGGAATGGAACCTTTCCTTCAAGGGAAACAGGAATCCTGTAGAAATAGTGGAAGTGCAGAAACTGTATCTTTTTTCCTAGAAAAAGAAAAATGATGTGTAGGTTTTATTATTACAAATTATAGCCCAGTTATTTGTCTCACCTCTCTGACAGATAAACTAGTGCTCAGCAGGAGCAAGTGCTGTAAATAATCAGTTTGCTATTTATACACTGAAATGGGAAACACATTTATGGGTAACAATAATAATTAGAAAACATTTATAAAAAGCTGCTGGGTTGCTATTTGGTGCCTCTGGAGTGAGCAGCTGTAAGAAAGCAAAAACAATCAGTGCAACTTCAGAGAGACTGAGAATGGGTTCCACGAGCTTAAATTGTCAATAATAAAGATGTAACAGCTTCCAAGCAAATTAAAGTCTTGATGATGTTCCCATTTAAGTGAATTAGGCTTTCAACTAATTTTAATAGCAGTTGCCCTAAATGTTTAGGGTACTGACCTGAATACACGAAACAAAATTATTTGATGCACAAGGAATGTGTTGTAACTCCCCTATCAGAAAGGCTAAAATAAATGTGGGTTGTTTTTTTTTCCCTGACCTTGATTTGCTGCAGGCTTTTCCTCGCTGGTATCCCGAACACTGACCTTAGTGCTGACCTCATCTCCCAGCCCCTCTTCTTGTTTAGTCCCTTACCGGGGGATATCATTTCACTGGGGATTTCAACTTTGCATGCTGTGCAAAGAACCCCTACAACTTCCTTCCTTGTGCGGTTTATTAGCAAGGCTAATTTATTAATGGAGCTGCACAGTCACTGCCTGTTTTGTTCTGTGTTGTTGCAGCGGGGTTGTTATACAACACTGATCTGCTGCAAGAGAAAATAATTCACATACAGAAGCTGCCTTTCAGAGCAGGGAAGGGGGTTCACGTGTTCTGTGTTTGCGTGGCTCTGTTCCCTTTGCTGTGGCCAACTTTTGCAGGGGCTGGTATAAGAGCTCATGGTACTGAAGCAAAGTTACTTATTAATTTTTCCTCTTCAGGGTCTAGGTGGAAGGCAGGGGGAAGGGGAGAAGAACCTGGGTCTCGGAGCTGGTCTGAGAGCACTGTGTGGTTGTAACACTAACACTGACCTTCTGCTCCACAGTGTCACCAGCATGCGTGAAACTACTGTAAGATTGTTGAAGCTGGAAGGAGCAGGAGAAACTAGGAGTGACGGGATACATATCCTGAAAGGGGCTGAGAGGATTTTGCTGCTAGGAGAGATATTTTACGGAGGTACCTGATTGTCACTGTGGGTAAGAAAAGGATGCTGCGCTGAGGACTAGGTCATAAACTTGGTCCTGGTAGCATTTCAAGCCGTGGCGTTCTCTAGTTAGTGAGTTTTTTTCATGAAGCACTTATGGCCTCTGGTTTAGCTCGCATAAGATGTCTGTGATAATGGGGAAGATTGAGGTTGGACTTGGTCTTACAAGTCAGGTCATAAATCTTTCTTCTGGCCATTATCATGTTCTTATGATACTGAAGAGAATGATTAGTCCAGCAAGTCCAGTACTGTTTCATATTGAAATTAATGGTGCCTTGCCAGTGTGTAAGGACAAGAAGTTGTATCATTTCATCTAAAGATCATACTTGCGAGCAGCAGCAAATGATGAGAATTATTAACGTATAAAAGATCGTACTTTAGGATTATCTGAATTAAACTCGTTCCTTGCCGTTAGTCTTTCTTTCTGCAAGTGCATTGCATACCTTGTAGAATTTATTTGGTCAAATGTCTAAAATTATCATGTTGTGAACGTGATTTTGTGAAACTTGGCTATATTTTTTTATCAAAATTCTTATGTCTGCTTACATCAAGGAAAATTCGCTTTTCCTAAACAGTTCCTGTTAGATTTAGATACAGCAGTGTCCACAAAGTAGTATTAACCCACAGACAGAGGAGTATTGCATTTTATACACTTTAGGTTCTTGTATGGATACTTTGTTGAAAAAGAGCAGGAAAAATTTGTTCAATGGATTGATTTTGAGTTAAGTTCACAGAAGAGCTATGGGCTTATGTCAACTAAATTTGACAGAGGAGTGGAGCTCTCGCAAATACTACAAGCTTTTAAAAATCATTGACTGGAAGGAAAATTGGTCTGCTGTTGCACCGGTTAGTGTTTAGATGGTCACTAATTATGAGCTACTCCTTACCTCATGAGGAAATAAACGGTAAAGAGGGGAGGAAATGAAAATACTATGTAAGGGAAGTGAGGTTATAGGAGACATAAAGAAATTATCTCGGATTACTATGATGAAGAAACAGGTAGGACACAGGATACAAATCCATATCAGATCAACTTCATTAGTTCTGCAGCTGAAGGAACAATTTATTTCCTTTCAAACAGCAGGATGGTCTAGGTATTTGAAATAGTAGAAGGAGCTCTGGGAGCTGGATTAACAAGTTTGTTGCAATCATGTAACAAGTTGTATTGGTTTATGTAGCACTCGGGGAAGTGAGACACAAAATATGAAAGGGGAAAAATAGGAAAGAGGAAGAGTAGGACTGGGTGGGCAACAAAACTGTAACTGGGAGAAATGGCACTGGTGGCTCAGCATTGTGTCCCTGGAGTGATGAATGAGATCAAAATATTCGATGGCTGAATGACCGAATAGCATGAAGTATATTCCCCTGTCAGTTTATGAGTAAGAGAAGCAAAACCACAGGGTGATTCAGTGCCCAAGTCAGGATCCTGCTCTGCGTCTTCCCGTTGGATGAACACCCCCACCGCCCCCATATGTGAAGCTGGGGGTGACCAACCTCCTGAAGCTTGGAGGTCCAAAATTAACCAGTCTACATAACCTCTTCTAACTCCCTTCATAGGCATAGGGAAAACAAATATGCGGAGGGGAGGATTTGACAATTTCCATACCCCTCCATGATTTTAAAGTAGTTTTTAGATGTAGTTTAAACACAAAATATAATGCCTAATTGCTCATTCCATGCAATAGTGTTACAGAAGTTGTATCAAATACACTTCAGTTATTATCAGTTGTTTGATATTAATAAAGTAATAAGCAAGCCTAGACAGAAAGAGAAGAAATCACAGTACTTGGAAAAGACTCTAAGAACCATTCTCCTCTGCAGGTGCAATCTCAGATAGCAGCACTAGGTTAAGGCTATGTTACATGTTGTGTAAACATCTTGCATTTTCTGTGGATGAGCTGCAGCATTTGCAGCCTCTCACAATACAGTCACAGACCTCTGTGCTGTTTTGTGCTGGTGCTTTAGAGTTTGTCAGTAAAGCTGGTCACCTTTTAAGTATCAAATATGAAGTTGTACACATAAATTATTATTATTAAGTCTACTTTAAAATCTGTGATTGGTCCTTTATTTTGTTGTTGATTACTATAAAAATGTAGCAGAATACTCAGCAGATACTGAACGTCTCTTTTGTTATACTTTTTAAACTGCCAGAGACTTTTTTTTTTTTAAATAAGGAAGATAATTGCAGAATTTTCTGTGCTGTCTCGATCAAGAAAATGCTATGTTCGATTTTTTTCCTCAACTGTTCACTCATGAAAGAGAAAGAAATCTCATTTCATGGGAATCATTCAAGGCGTTAATAATCTTGCTGCATCACTTTGCCTTCAAAATAAATAGTACAATATCCTTTTAATTATACACATACTGTGGCTTAAAGAGAGACAAATGACAAAGAAAAATCTGCATGATAAAAGGCTCCTAAACTTGCAGCATCCCTTGATCAAGACTTGTTATGAAGCATTCGCTGCAAACTCCTTCCTCGCCGGCCTCTAAGCTGCCTTGAAACCCCGTTCCACCAACAGCGTCCCACCAAATCCAAGCAGAGCCACCACCACTGCCATCACTGCGTCATGGTTAAATGCAGCCCTGCTGGGGCATGGCAAGCGAGGGGAACAAAACTAGAGCAAAAACAATCTTGAGTAGGGGGAAAGTTAGCCTGGAACACTGTTCTGATGCTCTGTCTTTGACTCCCCTTCAGTACAGTAAATAGCACTTATTCATCACTCGGCGCCATTGCAGTTGCACAGCTTTTCTAGCAAGAATAAAGTGTTTAGGAACGGCTCTCTGAATAGAAGTCCAAGTCAGTTGTTTCAATGGCTCGTTCAGCGCCTGTTAGAGTTGTGGAGGACTCTTGTGTTTGGTGCAGACTCCTTAATTTGTGGAATTTAACATATGCTCTCAGATATCTCTCAGGTTTTTGCTGAGACTGTTCTGTTTTAGTTCTGACTCTTTGTCTATAAATGCCATTTAAAGGCTGTTACTTTTTCTTTTTTTTTTTTCCTAACAGTATCAAGGACAAAAATAAAGGCGAACTAATCCCCCCAGTAATGAAGGACACTGTATCCTACCTAAAAAGAAAAGGTGAGTTTTGTGTCAAAAGAGGATGTGTCTTTCAGAACAAGGACAATAGTATGAAACTATATAACGCTCAGGGCCTGATTCAGCAAAGTTTACAGCTACACAGGATATGTTTATATCCTGAAAGCTTGAGTGGCAATTGGGCACTGCCTTCAGAGCTTTGATGGATGGGGAATACTTATTGACAGATTATTGTCCCACTATGAAAAAAAACAAAACCTTTTTGCCCTTAGGATTAATTAGGGAATAGCAAATGAGAGAAGATGTCTTGAAATACACATCATCAACCCATATCATATTGTTGGTTTTAAGTAGAACTCCCAGTAAAAGTCAATGAGAAGTTCTGTTTTTATAACAGCAGTAGACATAAAGACTCATTGAAAAAACATATTTGGGAGGAGTAAGCCTGAAGTCCTCCCTTCACAAAATATTTTTACTGGCATTTACAGATCCTTTGACTGCAGTTCACAGCTATAGTTACATTATATAGACATACAGATTACAGAGACCCATATTTAAAATGGGAGCATCCAAATCTGAGTTCCCTATATTGCCTTCATGTACAGGGCAAAAAGAGGGTAGACTTTGAACAGCTGGCTATACCACTGAGCTCCCCAGTGCATACCTGGCCAACATAAAGGACCAAATATCAGGTGCTATCTATAGGGTAAGTGCACTGTATTCCCTACATAGGGACAAAGGTGCATGGAGGGAGAAAGTTGGAGATAAGGCTGCAGTCTTGAAATTCCTTTTCTCAGTGTAATGTGATTTTACATTTTGATCCCTGATTTTTAAGGCAATAACAGCAACATTTCCATAGCCGTTTGTGCTCCAAGGCCTCAGAGTCTCACAAATGTTTGCTAAATCTTACAGTACTAAATCTATAGCCTAGGTACATTTATCTTACAGGTGACAGAACAGAAACAGAGCATAACACAGTTATGTGACTGGCACAACATTACACAGTGGTAGAACTGGGAATGATTCCTAAGATCCCTGAAAGAAGGGTGTGAATTTTTAATAGGCGTGTCAAGCGAAGAAAATCAAAATGTGTTTGGTTCAGTTATTTAAAGGGAAAAAAAAAAAGGAAATATCACTGGCATTTAAAATGTCATTAAATTTGGTTAATGTTTGAACAAATTTTGAGGATCAGCATGATTTTTGTTAAGAAAAAAACCAGGCTTAGATCTCTATATTGCTGTTAAATTAGTTTTATCTGAAATTTTCCTGATTTAAAGAGCTATTTGTATTGACAGCACACAAATAATATAAAATATAAATTTTAAGTAAATTATATACTTCTGTAGACAGGTTCACCCAAAACCTATATCCCACAATATTCCCAATTCTTAATTTGCATCCATGAGCTGTCATTCTGAACAAGGTAAATTTTGCTTTCAGTATTCAAATAGTATGCATCATTGATCTCGGTTCATTTTAACTATTGCCATTACAGTTTGGTTCGAATTTGAGTTTATTTGAACCCTAAGTGAGAAATTTCAAACTTTTTAAAAACTTGTACTGCATAGGCTTCACATTTGTGAAGACGAAGGTGGTGGAGGGGCAAGAAAAATGTTGCTTCTCACCTTTATTGCTGATTCTCAAGAGAAATCCTGGCTTCATTTAAATCAGTGCAAGATCACACTGATTTAAATGAGGACAGACAAGACATGTAGTGTGTTGCCCTCATTGCTAGGCTATGCTCCTTCGTATTTTAGCTTACCCCATGGTAAATAGGAATATTAAATATTATTTTTGTTTGGGTTTCGTACCTTGAGTGAAGCTGATTAATGAAGTGCGTAGCAGAATGAGAGAGAGATCCACTGCAGTGGATACCTGCTTACAGTTTGCAAGCAGTGGAGCATAGCATCTATAGGGACGCTTGTGTACAGAACAGCTAGCTCCTTGCCTCTTGAAATTGCTGCTTTATCTTCAAAATACCTGCAGCAGCTAAGGCCAAGTACTGGAGTGGGGCCAGTTCTGCTATTAAAGGTATCTACTGATCTGAAGTAGACTAAGGGTTCCTAATTAGACTTTATTGAAGGCCTCTTGGTCCAAATTCAAAATTTCCACTCAAGCCCCTAAAGCTGTTTGGATGTGCTGTTTCCAGGCTGGTGCTAATGATGAAAACTTTGCAGGTGTAGCTTGTATGAAATATTATGGTTGGATACAGGGAATGTAAATAGTGCACTACTAAGAATGTTGAAGGCAAGTGACTGGCAGCTTGAGACAATCCCTGTAATCATAATTGTAAGTGGATAATTAGAGCTTGTGTAGTGTATCAGTGCATGCCCCATCTGCAGATGAAAGCCAGACTTTTTCGCGTTTTAAATTGTTATGAAACAATCATCCTTACATATATTTAGCTTATCTTAATAGGCAAATACCTCTTCCTCACTAATCACAGGAGTCAAGAGAGCTAAAATGAGGATGAATGTGCACTAACATCATTACTTCTCACAGCTGTTATTATTTAGAAATCGAGTGAAAATTTAGTCACTAAAATGTTAATTGATTTAAACTTTTGGCCGTGCTTGGGAGGAGGGCTTTGCATATCTGGCACTTCCTTGACCTGTTTAAAGATTCTAAAGACACAGGAGGTTTATGGCCATCATTATATTGTGCTGGTGACTAGTAACTAGTAATTCTTGCACTGATCTGACACAAAACCTCCTCCGTGTCTTGCTTTTGTTCTTTCTGGGTGTTTTGTCTCATCCCTATTGCACCAGTCCCATACTCTTCCCTCTCACCGATTGCTGAGTCTAGCTCAGGTACCCACAGTTTTCTGAAGCAGCAATGCCAACTGCACAGTACAGGGAAAATAAGCGAGTTTTAGCTCTCATGGTTGTGATAAAAGAAAGGGTTGGCTCAACCTTGTCATTGCAGAATTTCTCCTAGATGAAATGTTTGTTATTCTGAAAGCAGTAATCATCCTTGGGTTTTCTCCAAACTTCATCTTTTTTTTTGGCTAAAAACTCATCTGTTCAGTGCAGTATCAGCACAGTTTGTAAAGGATAGTCTCTGAGGAAATGTGATGATACTTCTGAACAAAGCCCTTGTCCTACTTTGTGCATCTCTGCAAGTCAGTGGCATGGTAATGCTGGCCACTGATACATAGTCCAGCCATGTACTTGCTAGCCGGACTATCTCATTTTTTCCACAGCTCTCTGTTCTTCTGTGCCCCCAGGAAAGAAGGGCATGGGCTCTGTGAACGTTGATATTTTCCAGCCGAGCCCAGGTTTGCTCAGAGCTGTCATGCTTCCGATCATAAGGAGATCTCCACAAACCAGATTTCTAAGGAGAGATGGCTTGTCAGGTAGAGTGTTTTCTGACATTCTCAGCCAGCTGATGCTTGAAAGCCAAGCACCTGCCATGCCAAGGCTGTTAAGCAGTAGGTGATAGACATGCATTTTTTTGCACTTGATTATAAGTGTGCAGGTATCTGTTGTACCTGCTGTCTGCTATGATTTTAACTCTTTCTCTAAATTTGGAATATCTCAATTCTGCCATCAGCTTCAGCGAGTGTCGGATCCCATGCTGACAGCCCTGGGAGGCTGACTGGCAGCGTTCTTTGCACTCCAGACGTGGCCGTGAGCACAGTGAGAGCTGCAGTTCATCTTCCGGAAGAGACAAAAATTCACTGTCGTTACCCTATTCCATTTGATTTTGGCATAGTTTCCAGCCTCGCAGAATTAGCAGGGAGTGGGTTTTGTTATTCACCCTAGGTGCAGTATTTCCAGTCTTTCTTCCAATTGCTGTGTTTTCACTCTTTCTTCCCATTGCTATATTTTCACATCTGTGTACCTGAAATCAGTTTCTGAAACTCTGACTTGGATCACGAAAGCTTCTGCAAAATCATGCTTCATTAACAGGGTTAGGATTTTGTGAAACGTCAGAGACCTTCTGACATCTGTTAAGTCCATTCTGTACTGCTCAGGCTCTTATTTCTTGAACAGATCTGATGCAGGATCTGTGGTGGTATTTGAACTAGGCACCAGCCTGCAATAGTATGCTGCCAGGCTTAGGAAACTTTCAGTCTCTAAAGTTCACCCAGCCTTTTTCATCTTAATGACTCCAGTCCCTTTGACAGATTGCTTCATGTCACATTTTTCTTCCCTGATGTTTAAATTTTCTGCCTGAGTTTCAGACAACACTGTTGGCAGAAGTGTTCTTACCAGTGTGGAGGCATCCTCATCTGTACAAATGAGCCAAAACTCCCCGTCTTGTACCGAGTTATTGAGTGGGCTCTGACAGGAGCAAGCATGTCCTCATCCCCAACAGCCAAATCAGTGTTATGACAGTGAGTGTGGGTTTCTTCCTCATATATTTGTCCGAGTGCATATTTAGATAGCTGTTTCTGACCAAGATGACTCTCACTGGATCCAGTTAGTAAGTCACCCAGTACCTTAACAGAGACTAAAGAATCTACCACAAGCAGAGATTCCTCTACATGTGTTTGTGTTATATAAACGAGATCTATTACAGCTGATGCCTCAGACACTATTACAATAAACACAATAAACTAAGTTTGTTTATTTCTATAATAATTTTCATGTTATTTTTTCAACAAAGGAAAAGAAAGTAGCAATTTCACCACTTTCATTCTGGCTCCACTTTAGAGTGAAAAATGTTTTTAAAGTTTTTAATACTGAATTTTAAAAATGCTTAATTTCAGTTCCTGTTAACCTTCACAGGGAAGAATTGGTTTCCTAAAACGAGTTCTGAGTATCTGAGAAAATGATCAGCTCATTAAGACTAAGCCTCAGAGCTCGTTCGTCTTCTGGACCAAACCAGAGAGGTGCTCTTAATTTCAGAAGTAAGGTGTCGGTATCATCCTGAACCCAACTGATGATTTAGTCAGGCCAAAGAGGAAGGGCAGATTTAAAATAGCACATTTGTGACTGAATCTTCATTGTAACCAGCAAACCAGAGGACATTTTTTTTCTACGCTCAGCCTGAAAACCGCAACCTGTTAATCTGTCTAGTTTATAAATGAAAGGCTT